TGTGGGTCTTGTAAAGTTATGCTTTTCATCCCATCATACACCATTGAACCATTGGACCAAGACCAGACGGAGGTGAGTTCTAGCGGGTTTGCACCACTTTGACCAGGAGCTGTCTCGCTTGAGGCGGGCAGTAGCAAATCATTGAACACCCGGAGGTGCCCACCTACCGTCAGAGACAATGCGTGGCGCTCGTGTTCTACGCCAATCGACCTGTGAGCTTATAACCCGTAGACCTATTGTGTCCCATGGCTAGGTTTTACGGGAAGAGGGCCATCGACCACTTCCTAACCTCCGAAGAGGATGGACTAGGATACTGGCAGGGCGCCCACACCTGACAGGAGAACGACTCGGGTCCTCAGCCAAAGCCTTCGATTAAATGTACACCCGAAAGACCGCGGGTCCAGCACATGGGCAGTTCACTGACATGCGGATTCGTGTCCCGGATCCTAGCAGAGAGAAAGGTGTAATCCAACTCCCACCCAGCGGTCGCCACGAGGCGTCTAGGACATGAGCCCATGGCACCACAGTAGCAGCAGTGGGTAGATCATCTGTCAGGATCTAGCCACCAGCAGCCTCAGTGCAATATATATATATATATATATATATATATATATATATATATATATATATATATATATATATGTAGCTGAGCTACTGAAGAGCCCAGATGACCTACTTCGCATTCATTTGCACTACAACGACAATGATATCTGCACTGAGAAGCATCGTGTTCAGTGCGTTGTAGGTGTCCTTGGCAGTATGCGAATGCAGTTGGTGGGGGCATGAGCCAGAGCACAGCACTACTCTGTGAATTAATCTTATCTGGCTGTGTACAAACAGCTGCTTATGGGAACCCAATCAATCAAAGAGGACTCTCTTTTGAAGCTGAGAACAATGATTAATTCAGCTTGAAAGATGGATGGCGCATCAGTGTCTCCGGATGCGGGCAACTAATAGCGAGATGACAAACCGGACGCAATTAACTCAACAACCCCGTGATGTTCATCGATCCTAGTTTCAGACACACACCACACATCAATGCCTAGTGTGCACAACGTCCGTGCGAGTGCAGCCTACCGACCTATTTGTCTTAGAGTGCGAACGTTGAACGCTGTCAGGGAAACGGGACAGTGTGGTCCTATAAAGAGCTGTTGCCGATAGGCTTCCAGTGGGTGGTGCGAGAAAGTACCAGCAGATAATTCTACTCCAGTGGCAATGCTGTCAGTTAAGCTGGGAACTACGGAAGGAAGGTTATTATTGACGGTCGAAAGGGGAGCAAGAGAAACATGTGGAAAATAAAGGTGACGCTAGAAATAGCAGGTTTTCGCTTATTCGCCGTGCTGTATGCAGCAGGTAAGGTGACCCTTGATAATCTGCGCGACGGCCGATGCAGGATGTGGTTAAGGTTTGCGGAAGTAGTTGTTGTGGTACATGGGCTGCTAGGGCGCCCAGATCAAGACAAGAGAACCATTAGCGTCCTCAACCAAAGTCCTTGATCCAAAAAGCCTGTCCGAAAGGCCGCAGATGTAGCAGAAGTAGACGCCATCCCATTTCTGACTCTCAACTTGGGAAACTAGGACACTGAGCTCGTCTTACATCCAATTATTGTCCAACCTTGTAGAAATAGCTCTCAAGGGCCCGGGAGCACTACGCAGTATAGCTCAATAGGTCGAAAAGGTACGCAAATCGTCACACCACGTTAAGGTCCAGTCTCGTTGCGACGGACGAGGCATGTGCTGCCAGAGAGACTGACTAGACAGCATAGCAAAACTCAATAAACACGTGATGGAGCCCATCACCAGATGGGATCGAGCCTTGGATGACGACGTGGCAAATGAATTCGGGACTCTGATAAAGCAGTGCGTGCTTTTGAAAACGGACTTACGCTGTGCAGTAAAACATCCAAATAATTTGCCTGTGTTGGTAAGTCAACTGGTAGTCTGCCGGATAGCGAACGTCGTTGCAACCGCTTTTCATCTTTGGTGATTTGTAGGCGCGTAAAATTATCTTCCTCGTATCTGAAAATAACCGTGAACTTAAAACATGAAAAAGTACTTCTGTTTGTCAGTAAATTTCTTTCGAATTGCACTATCGCCCTTAAACGCTCCGAACTATAGGGAAAACAAATAACTTCTGTTCAAAAGTTAGAACACATACGTGTATCTCTTTGGGTAAATCTTCATCCCCACAAAAATCCGGATCTTCAAGGACGAAGCGAGCAACCCGTTTTTTTAGGCGCTTAAGTGCACTATTCTTTTGTGGTTCTTCTGCGGCAGTAGTAGACAGTAACCAGACAAGTACCTACCGTAGAACACTGGGGTTAGGCGAAGTGGTTGATAGAGATCAGAACTGCTCGTGTGATGGGTGTTTTTTAGATCAGGTTCTGCAATTGAAGACTCATTCAATCGGCAGACATTCTAACATCAGCATATGGAGAATGAGCAAGTCTTACTAAAAAACGAGAAGGATTCGGTCGCAGACTGAAATCATCCGCATCCATTTATTGTTGCAGGTTAGGGAGAGTAGTGCTTGTGAACAATTTACGGAAGTAACAATTTTTGCGTGTGACGTGGTGTTCTCGAAATAAAGGCTGCGGAGAGGAGGAAGTGTCAGTTTAAGAGAATACAAAGATATCTCAACAGTTACTGATCTCATCAAATATCCGTATTCCGTACACTTCTCATGCAACATCAATTTTCACCGGTTCGTGTCTCGTAATGACAGGTAGACACACTCACAGTCATTATGAAACACTCGTATGATTACACTGCGGAAACAATCTCGACTGGAACCACAATTCCCTTTGAAATGAATCTGTCAATGTGACCAATAGGACCGCATCTTACGATCTGCTCAACAGCCTGTTCACAGTAAATCAACTGTGATCCGAGTTTTCTTGGTAAAAACGATAGCGATAAGAGAATGAAACATTTGGATAACTTCGGAGATCGGCCGAAAAATGCATCAGAAGTACGCCGTTACGCTGCACTCACGACTTTCTGCCACAGAACAACAACAAGTCACGCGCTGGATAGGGATACTGCGACCTGGGTCACGCCTATGCAGACCTAAACCGGTGACCTTTGAGTTACTACTAGGCTGACGCCTTATAGCAGATGACAAAGATACAGTTGCTATACCAAGGAATCAAAAGTTGGGAACAAAGTAACGTACGTATGAGAGATGGCTCATCATCATCGAGTTCAGATAGCACTAGAACAATAGGAGAATCGCGTAAGTGCTCCTTCATGAACGGATCGTTGAGGGAGGAACTGATGAGGTGCTCGGAGATCATGATGGAGCTAAAAAGGAACACCCGTATCACAACCCGGTCAACCAATTACTGCTCACGTTACCTGTACTAGCAGTCCCTACTGTGAGAATCACGTGAAGGATAGGAAGAGAAATCGAAGGTACAGAATAAGGAAGTGCACTTGAAATAAGAGGATAATACCAAGGTATGAAAGAAAGTAGATAAAGGAAAAGCAAAGTATGATGATGGGAGTTAGTCGGGAAAAGAGGAAAGTTTCGTGTTGTCATTCAAGAGCGCCAAAATGATGTTCAAACCCCTTAACTGTATATTGCCTGATAAAAAACTCCGGAAACATTTTCCAACGCTCGATGACTTGATGTGACAGCCGAATTTCCGCCCTCATCCGATCGGACCGCGGTTTGTTCAGTTTCATGGAATAAACGCGGAGAACAGACAGTCTAGCGGGAGTGAATAGCTAAAACAAATCTGGAGCAACCTTCCAAGTTAAGATACGATAGGTTAGGAACCAGTCTCTTCTAAAGCCTATGGTAATATATTGAATGCATTCCCAAACTAAGTAGATGCTCGGGGTACGTCTGTCTTCGTTAGCCCTCAAGTAACCCAGGACCCACCCATAAAACTCTCTCTAGCTCCATTTTATCCGGGACGAGGCAGGGCAGGCTAGTCTGGACGCAGTATTCCAGATGAGGCCGAACGTAAACCAAGAAAAGGCTCACAAAGATGTTGCCCGACAAGATTCCGAAGGAACGCCGTATTAACCATAACATACGGAATTCTCTGCTTGCAGCCATCTTCCAGGTGTCGTCCGAGTGTAAAATCAAAAAGTGTTCAACGCCTTGATCAACCTGGCTGAATACACGGGGGAGTTCGATCCCACCTACCAAGTACCTAGAGGGAGGACAACCTCCACTAATTCGAAGAACGGAGCACTTTACAGTAGTCATAGAATAGAGGAGTTCCAAAGCATATCCAAAGCACCCTGATTAGCATCAGGGCTTCCAGGAACATCGACAAAATTCCACAGCTTCGAGGTCATCAGCAAATAGTAGGGATGGTACCTCAATGTCCGCCGATAGGTCGTTCACATAGACAGCGGTCCAAGGACCGAGTCTTGCGGTACACCACTGAGAACATATTGCCTAAGCGATAGGTCGAGATCAACGCGTATGCAATGTTCTGTATCATACAAGAATGCAAACACCCAGTGAAGGGCGCGATAAGATATACCGTAAGAACTTAGCTTTGTTGCAGGCCTCAAATGGAGTACTGTGTCAAATGCCTTTGAAAAGTCAACGAAAAGCACGTCCAGTGGGTGGCTGTTGTACACTGCATCAGCCCAAGTTCAGTCAGATACGAAAATCCCTTCCGGAATCCGTGCTGTGCATTGCTAAGTAGAGCAAATCTAATCAGATGACTCCCCAATGAATCTCTCACAAGTTTCTCGAGGAGTTTGACTACTACACTCGCCAGAGTAAATGTGTCAGCTGTACGCCGTAACGGCACTTCGCTACTGTGCGACCACCACCAGTCGCATGCGGGCTGAGTATACCGCGAGGACGTCCACCCCACGCGGATTCGAACCCGCGCCGCAAGAGTACGAGACCAGCTCGTTACCTCTAGGCTACGGACCGAGCTCGCCAGACTAACTGGCCTGTAATCAGCAGGCAGACTACCTTCTATTCGAAAGATGGTGCCCAGCTGTCAAACGATTTCTAAAATACGATAGCGGGCGGTACAATTAGTTCCTCATCAGATTCATTTGACTATGTCGGGGGAATTAAATCAAGCTCAGGTGCCTTGAAAGGATTCAGCTCTTGCAGTAGCCTATGGACTTCCGCCTCCGCTATAATAAATTCCGCTAAGCACGAACCCTCTGGGACTTTGGAGACCAGCTCAAGGCCTGTCAACAACATTTCCCTTACAAACGCTGCTGCATATTGTCTATCAAGTACGCAGGCCTTGTCATAGTCTGTATAAGCATGAGTATCGTCGTCACGCATTAACAATGGAATTGATGAGTTCGAACCGCATCGCCTTTTGACATACATGAAGAACTTTTTGGAATCGCTGGGCTTCACCTGCTATACGCCTATTTCTAACCTTACGGTAACTGTCATAGGTACCGGTAAGTCCGCCAACATTTAGACCACTTTGTGAGCAGGTGACTGCCATTGGAATCTATCCTGGGGGCTGTGCCCGTGCCTCCATTTTTCGCGTGACCAGGATGAAGAAAACAGAGATGTCTGTGAGGTAGGACTCAAATTCATCCCAGGCAACCTAGATAGTATCGTCCCGTGGAATCTCACAACGTAAATCCGAAGCCTTGGCTCCAATTGCTTGATAGTTTGCACGCCATATGTTTGGACGTGACTCAACAGTACTCTGGTAGCGTCTAGACAGAGTAGGACTGAGGCGCAAACAAACACGGTCACTAGCACCCAGTGGAGATACGTAAGCAACGTTACCAACAAAATCGAGTGACTTAATAAACACAAGGTATAAAATGTACAGTACTTGGAGATCCAGGTACGTAGTGGAGAGGTCCAAGAGCTAATGCAACGGTACTTGTATCATAGGCTCAAAAATATCTGCGCTGAATGTACCTGACGCTGAGTTGCAAAGAAGATCTACCCAGCGAAGCTCAGGTGAGTTGAAGTCGCCCAACACTAAACACTTATTCGCTGAATGGGTGAAGAAAGAAAAACACCGCTTTGGATGCACTCTCAGGGCTACTATACACGCTGACAATTGTAACTTGAGTCGAGGTGCTAATCGCACCCGATAGAGTGTCAACAGTTTTATTTACTAACTGGAACAAGCAGGCCTTGAAAACGCCAAGTTTACAGCTCACGCGAAGAGCAACGCTCCCACCTTTCGGTCAACGGAACGATCGCATCTAAGTAGTGGGTAGCCAGATAGGTGTACTTCACCATTCGTAAGGTCTGAAACAGCCACGTTTCAGTGAATGCAGTACATCAGTCATGTGAACTGATGCTTCGCTTTCATACAACCACCATGACCAATGGAACGAGGGATAAGAACAGGGAAAGGGCAACTTGCCAGAGAACTTTAATGCCCTAAGCAAAGATTCAGGGTCAAAACGTCAACACCTTGTCAATAAAATACCGTCACAAACAGGTGGTCATCGTGATAAGATCAGCCGGCATCTTGGGGACTTCAGTGCGCCGCATCATAAACAGCCATTACCCCGCAGACAATTATGTTTTACGACAGTTTGAAGTCGCATAAAGTTTCGAACAAAGGATGTGTTATCAAGCACAATTTACACATGTAGTCTGGCCGGGAGATGACAGCAAGCATGCCAACAATGTCGGTCGAGAATCATATTCCATAAGCTCTCAAGACAAGGACATGGTCTGTTGCGTAGGTCACAGCCTGAGCAACAATTAAACTTTCTGTTGCCCTAGCGCCTAGATCCGATAAACAAGCTAAAACAACCGTCTGTTGACGGCTGACAAGCACACAGAATAAACCAAAGATAACCAAACTCATCCAGTAGTGGTGTTAGTCCGTGTATGCTGTGTTTCCGTTGACAGTATGGATAAGGGACGCAGCCACTCTCGTGGATTACAGCCACTCCCAAAATCAGAAGACGAAGGCCTCCAGTGGAACTTGTATGGAGCACCTGGAAGACAGAATGTACAACCGAATATGGGGTCAAGCTAAATAGTTAATGAGAGAAAAGACCTAATCGAAAGTTCCTGAATATAGCAACTACTAGATGCACGAAAAGTGGCTTGTTGGCTGATCAAGTAGTGCGCTTACTGGAGGGTTTCAAAGCAGGTCATTCTGATTGGTCCACCTCAAGGTAAAACGATGCCAATGGCTTACTCTCAATGACTAGGTAATCAGCCACAGGCGGCATACGACCAATCTTCTCCTGGCTACTTCAAACAGAGCTGGCTTTTAAGGCTGCTATGCACTGGCTCCGGTAACACTCCCTCGCGAAAAGTGACGTACGACTCCCTCCTGGGATCCAGCTGCATTCTGGCCACGGATCTCCGTATCCGATCAGTCCATTGTCGTGGCTGCAAGCTCGTTCTTTCTGTGGTCCCTGTGCAAGGCTCATTAGTGTTACCGGAGCCTGCCATAGCAGCCATCGAAGCTGGCTCTCTTTGTCTGGAGCAACCCGAATATTGGTTATATGCTGCCTGTAGCCGATTGGCTTAACAATGGGAGTAAGTCAATGGCATCGTTTTACCTTG